ATTTCATAGACTTATATCTACCTATATATTTATATATATTTATATTTAAATTTATATTTATATTTACATTTATATTTATATTTATGTTTATCATTTAACCAACAGGGTTATTAATTACAAAATAAATTACAATGTTTAAACAAATGAAAGATATATACCACGAAATAAACAGATATAAATAATGGATTACATAACACATGTACCCTGGTGGCAAGGCAGTCCAAAAAGAAGCTACAGGCTTTTAAGCCAATAAGCGCGCACTTTTTCAAAGAATGCATACATATTTTTTAATATTTTTTTTAGTGTTTAAAAAATGGTTAGATGCCACKAAGTAGGTGGCATAGCCTTAACCACGTGTTATAGGTTGAAAGTCCGAAGACTTTTCTCGTCCTTATCGAGGGAGATGCTAACCTTCTCTCGGCTCATACAACACGAATTTTATAAGTACTGCATCTATATTTATACATGAAAAAGAAATCTCATCAAAACATGTGGGATTACTTGAAAGCCCTTAACAGCCGATTTTGTCATTATCTAAATAAAAATAAATTGGCTTTAAAATAATTTCAATATTATTTCTTTAAATTTCTTAATTAATCCTAAAAAAATTGATAATTTTATGAAAAGTGTTTACGGATGACTACGTCACTACGCATGCGCAGTGTGGTTTTTCTGCTAAATCGACATTCTAATGATACCATTATTTTAATCAGCTGGATTACGTTTCTTAGCGTTTTCCATTTACAGTTTTAATAGTTTTTAATTGTATTTTATAGAATTTATTTTGATATTTCCACTGCACAGTAGTTTCAATATATTTCGGAAAAATCGGGAAAATTTTCGGGAATTTTTTTTTTTAGGTTTTCTGAACGAGCGGAATATATATTTTCTTGATCATGGATTTTTCTCTCTTTTTATTTGAAAATACACTTATTATGAATTTGATTAGAACAGTATTTTGTCGTATTCTAATTTTTTATTTAATCGTTGTTGGTTTGTCATTTATCATCATTTGATCTCGAAGTAACTTCTCAATAATAGTTCCCTTCACAGTTGCCTGCGCCATCTTGAAAGGTAGCCGTGCCTTTGCATCGAAGCGAGACAAACGGTGAGCTTGTAATGATAGAGACCTTTTTTTAACACCTTGGACAATTATTCACATGTCTCTATCATTGCAAGCTCACCGTTCGTCTCGCTACGATGCAAAGGCACGGCTACCTTTCAAGATGGCGCAGGCAACTGTGAAAGGGACTATTGTCTTGTCAACAGTAAACCAGTACTAACAGGTTAACTAACAACCTTAACCAGTACTTACTGGTTTTTCTATGTTCTCACGAATGTATTCTAAACAATGCAGTCACCCTTTAGAGCAAGGGTCTTGATTGGGTGAAATCCTGACACATGACAGGTAGTCCTCTGTTTCTTTCCGCTTATCATCTCTTATTTTCAAATCTAAAGATTTAGTAATTGTTGAGAAATTTCAAAACAATCGTTCTCGCCTCGACTTTTCATTTTCAAAGTAAAACCACGATAGGTAATAAAGGGAAGAGTTTTGATATGGCAGGATAGTAAGAAGTCCAAAACATGGCGTGCCTCCGCGCGCTCATCAGGAAAAAATTTATTGACCCAAAAACCATCGCGGACACTAAACTTTCACGATGCTTGAGCGTCCTTGATTTAACTGCCCTTGGTGTTGGCTCGACACTTGGGGCTGGAGTATATGTTGTTGCAGCTGAAATCGCCCGTGATGTTGCCGGACCAGCCGCAATTATTTCATTCCTAATCGCAGGAATAGCGTCTGTGTTATCTGGGCTTTGCTATGCGGAGTTTGGAGCCCGTGTACCCAAGACTGGCTCAGCTTACGTATACAGCTATGTGACGATTGGAGAGATCGTGGCGTTCATAATTGGATGGAATTTGGTGTTAGAGTACATGATCGGTGCTGCGGCTATCTCAAGGGCTTGGAGCGCTTACTTTGATTCTGTCTTACATGATCAAATTCGCAAATTTATCACTACGAAAATTGGAGAAATTAACGTGAGCGGACTTGGTAATTATCCCGATTTTTTGGCCTTGTCGATTTGTTTATTGATCACATTGATCCAGTTAACTGGGGTCAAGAAATCCACTCGTTTTATCTTCCTGATCACATTGGTCAACATTGGGGTGATTACTGTGATCATTGGCGTTGGAGCCACCCTTGCGCAGCCCAAGAACTGGAGTAATTTTATGCCGTATGGAACAACTGGCGTACTTGCAGGTTCAGCGACGGCATTTTTTGCGTTTGTTGGGTTTGATGTAATAGCAACCACAGGAGAGGAGGCTAAGAATCCCAGCAAGTCTATTCCAATCGCTATAGTATTATCTCTACTGATATGCTTTATTGCCTACTTTGGTGTTACGGCGGCAATCACGTTGGTGGTGCCTTACAATGAGCTCCAGTTGGGCGCTGCTCTGCCTAAAGCGTTTGCACAGCGAGGTGCCTACTTTGCTCAGTACGTGATTGCTGTAGGAGCATTGTGTGGAATGACAGCTGCCATCAATGGCGGGCTCTTTCCCCTTCCTCGTCTCCTCTACGCTATGGCTTCCGATGGACTTATCTTTAAGTTCTTCGCCTATATCAGTAAGAAAACTGAAGTCCCTCTGGTAGGGACGTTATTTTCAGGTGCTCTCTCGGGTATCCTTGCGATGCTTTTTGAGCTCCAAGAGCTTGTAGAAATGATGTCCATTGGGACCTTACAAGCGTACACTATCGTGTCCACGTGCGTTCTTGTCTTGCGCTACCAACCTGGTGGAATCGGTATCACCCTTAACGACGAACCGCAAGACAAAGAACTTGAGGGCCCAGCCCCCGCGCCTACCAAAGAGCCAACTGAAAAATCCGGCAAAATTGCTAGGTATTCCATAGCGTTCCTCTTTATAAATTTCTTTGGACTGAGCGCGTTTCTCATTCATGGAATGGTGCCAATGTTCCACTTAAAGCCCTGGGCCATTTTTGTTGCAGTTTTCTTGGTCATCACGTTTGTTGTCTGTATTATTCTTATTGGTATTCAACCCAGGAGTCGAATCAGGCTGCCCTTTAAAGTTCCACTAGTGCCCTTTTTGCCCTTAGCATCCATGTTTATCAACATATACCTGATGATGGAACTCAGCTCAGTTACTTGGATTCGGTTTTGCCTTTGGATGATTATTGGTAAGAAGAAAAGAGCTCCGGCTTACGAATTAATGAATCCTCTTTGATTACTGGTAATACAGTTCTGGTTTTGAAGTAAGAAGTGCCGGGGTTGTAGCGATGACAGCCCCAATCTCGGGAACCCAGGGGTAAAATTCTGTCGCTCATTTCTCGCTTCCAGAGACAGAAGTTTACCACTGGGTTAATCCCGAGGATGTGAGAGCTGCCCTCGCCTCTCAACAAGGTGACTTGGTTTCAATTTCCCGCAATCGTTGTCGTATGAGAGTACAATTGTTTGTTGGTTTTCTCCTGTGCTTCGAGGATTTTTCTCTTGGTTCTCCGGTCTTCCTTCCCCCGCAAAAATTACCTTATGAAATTCCAATCGGAGCTCAGTTGAAGAGGAGCCACACTGTGGAACCACTGTTTAATTCGTAGTATTGTTATTATTATTATAATGTCAAGACAAACAATAGAATAACAAACTAAAAGTACACTGTAGACAATACGTGTAATTAGTCGTGATAGAAGAATTAGCGTGATTGTTTCTTAGCGCACTGTCTGCAAAGCAAGTTGTCCGTAGCTCGATGTGCCAAAAGGTCGTACACTTACAACTTCTCTTCACTGTGATTGGTTGGCGCGCATTTTGTCGCATCTTCATTGGCTAAAATCCAAAGCAGAAGCCATTTGAGTGTCGTGGTATCATTTTCCCGCCCTTATCTCAGTTGAGCTGTGAAATGAATAGAGGTTTTGTACCATCACGTCGACGGCTGCCATGTTCACATGAAAAAGAATTCCTGAGACTGATTAAAGGGATTATATTGTTCTGCAATCTAACGTGATCATACAAAACCTCTATTGCACGTCCTTTAAGCTCTCTCAAATTACTTAAAAGTTAACGATAAAATAAGAATACATGTACATTCCGTTTAAAATTCGTCTTTTTTACCAACAGGTATGTGTATTTATTTCTTTTACGGGATACGTCATAGTGTCGAAGGACAACGTCAAAAAGAGCTAGGCAACTACATTCCTTTACAACAAGTCGATGAAAAGGACCCAAAAGAGACCTCTGAGGAACCCCAACCAAAAACAGACGAAGACAAACCAGAAGCAGCGAAAGAAAAAACATCAGACGATAAACGAGATGAATTCAGTACTCCATCTTAACTGTTCATAAAATTAAATATTAAGTTCATACGGTTTCATTTTTCAATTATTTTAAATCGAGGACCTCTTCACTTTGGGGAATAGAGCTGTTAAGTTGTGACGTATTTCCGTGTAAAGAAAAACGCTACAATGCAGTGGAAAATGTTGTCAATGACTCAAACTCCACCTTAAACATTTAGAAAACTGTAAAACAAATTCTGAAAATGAATGGAAGAAAAGGTAAAAAAAAAACTTTATAAGACTAGCTGCTTTTTGTTTGAGATGTGGAAGTCGTTTTTCCATATGATTGACATCACACTTAGAATATCTGTTGAATTCTTTCTCAAGTAAAACAAATTATATTGTTTCAACCATCGTGTTTTTGTGCGTATGCACAAATAGCAACATGTATATATAATATGGGGAACGGATAATTATTTAAAGAAAATTATTTATATAGTTAATGGGGTAGAAATTGTTTTTTACTTTGTTTGCAAGCCGATAAAGAGTTACTACAGTATATAGGCATAAGGGAAAAAGGGATGTGTCGAGAGTTGTGAGAAGGAAACCCTTTCCCTACCTCCCGAGAAAAGAAATCAGGCACATCCTAGCCTGCTATACAGGCATCCTTAGGATCTGTCATGCAACCTGGGGAGGGAAATGTTGTGTGACAGAACCTAAGAACAGCTGCTTTGGAGGTTAGGTACATCCTTGAGTGATAGTAACATCACATAGAATATAGCCAGCATTATTTTCTTAATTGGACAGGTCTTGTTGATATGGGATTAATTAGGCAGCTATATAATTAATAGATAATGGGATTTCATGCTCCCCAATCAAGAAATAATTGGACTCGAAAAATTCCTACAGCCTCATCCAATTTTGGAAGTCCTCAGAATTTTCCTTGTCCAATTGCATGGAGTCCTATTACATATACTAATTGGACAGTTACCTATATGGGATAAATGAGAAGCTGTATAATTAAATTGATAAATGTATAATTTAGTGTGTGAAAGATGGTATAACCATTAATTATATATGGATGTTATTTGCAGCACTTAGCTGCAAAAGATATATTCAAATGCTTATATATGTAGTTGAATTATTTGAATAAAGTATTATAGGATATCAGATGGTGTCAGTCATTCAGTAAGCTATGTTATAGAATATCATAATATTATTGCATGGTGTTGCTTTGGGAAGGTTATCTTTATTGTTTATGTGGTGTTTAAGGAATTTTTTTTGGTCATAAGATTGTCAGTGCTTTGCATGTAAACTCGGGTTCCTTGCGTCAGAACTGGAGTCAGAGACAAAAGCAGTTCATGCACAAAATAATTTTAAATATCAAAACCACTTGTCTTAAGTGGAATCGTCTTGATTTGATAATCCTTTTTTCACTAATTTTTTTTTACTATGTTTTGCTTTTATCAATATAATTTATTCATCTGCTTAGGTACAGCTTGATGAAAGTTGTTAAATCGGAAGAGTAAAGAGGCCTGTTTTGATCCTAGAAGAAATTCAGAATATTCTAATATTAGACAGGGAAAAACATTACCGGTAAAGCAGAATTTTTTGAAAGTTCTCCGACTCCGAGAGATTCCAACTCCTATATTCCGATTCTGTCAAGAGCTCACAAAATATGTGGTCTTCCTGTGGTTGAGATTCCGAGGAAGAACGAGTAGCAATCTGGAGTTTCAAGGGAAGAAGAAAACTCGGGAGAAAAAATAGCAGAGAAAAAATCAATTCTACGAAGATTAATCGGCCCATCTTCAACCTGCAGACCCTCAGTAAGTTAAATATAATGTTTTGTCACATATATACGACTAAAAGCCATATTTAATTCGTTTTTTTACGGTTAAAAGACGTCATTTCTAGCTTCCTGGAGCTCTTTACTTACGAATTAGGACAAACTTGGACAATTTCTACCACGCTTCTTCATTTCAATCCACTGCAATTTTTATATTATACCACCTGCAAACAAAATGAAAACTTAACTTCAAAGGGCCTGTTTAGGATTTTTTTCTGTGTGAAAAGTCGTTTTAAACTTGGTTTTTATTTTAATGGTCAGGTTTTTCGTTTGAGTTCGTTTTATTCATTTTTTTGTCCAGGGGGGAGGGGAGGGGGGTACCCTTGCCCGTTTAGGTGTTTAGGATAAGAATGTGCCGCAAGCCCTCTGAACCAGACCCTGTTCCAGAATAAAATGGCTGAAATTCATACTGTCCTGTTCCAGAGTAACATCATACATAAAACAACCTGTTCTGCTACTTGCGAAAAAAGATACCCTGTTACCCTGTTCCATAGAGAGAGCGTGTCATGTACCCCGTTTCCAGAGAGCAAGTGCAATTTTATACATCCTGTTCCAGAGTAGAATCGCGAATATATAGTGAATATAGGGAAGTACCCCACTCCCCCCCCCCCAGTTTTTTTTGTCCAAAGAACAAAAGATATAGAGTCATGAACACAATTTAGGGTGAAAAGAGGAAGGACAGTTTTCTTAATGCTTTTTCCTTTAATTCTAGTCCTTTACAGAGTTACAATAATACTATACAGAATTACAAGTCTCCATGGCCTCACGAGGACCTGACTGGGATTTTTATCAGTGCAAGTGTGGAAATATCGTATTTGAATATAATACTATCACTGGAGAAAAATGCTTAACAGATACTTGGAAAGATGTAAGTTTAGTTAATAATATGATGCAAAACATTGGTATTGAGAAAAACACTATTTAATTTTATTGTTCAAAGCTGTGTTAGATTTTGGTATAGGCTCTTTAGGTTATAACTTTTCATTTGATAGTTATATAAGTTATCTAGTTGTCATCTTATAATTGTGAATAATTCATAGTTCATGAATTGTTCGTTTTTCCCTAATTAGTACCTTTTGTGCCTCACTCTTATTATGAATGCATGCCCAGTATGTTTTGACCAATCATCACACCGAATATTTTCTATCTAATCCCAACACTTGAAACTCCATTGAACAAGTGACAAGGTCTATAGTGCCCTATAGTCCCTAGTCCCTTCTCGTCAACCAAACATAGGACTCCCAGGATTAAACACAGGAGCAGAATGGGTAGAATGAGTATGGTACAAATATTGTCGCTATATTTCAGTGCACTATCAGCTGCATGGAACCAGTATCCTATGTGCCACCATGTGCACGGCCATTCACCACTGTTAGAATACCTGTATCACGCCCTCAAAGAAGTTTGGCTACCCAGACTACCGAGGGTGTTAGTACGAGGTCTGTTGATACCCAGACACCACCATCAACCTGCACATGCAATAGTAGCACTTTGCTACCAGCATCGGCAAGTGATACTTGCCCAAGCTGTGACACAGACCATGCCAATCTAAGTGAGGATAAATCACAATCTGTGCTCACAAATACCACTGTTGAAAATGAGAAAGATCTCTCAAAAGAAAAAGCAGATGTGAAAAATGATTTGGATAACCTTGATGTGGTATCCAATGAAAAAGATTCCCTTGTAGAAGAGAAGCACACAAGTAAACCAAGTACAAGCTCCCTTCTCATGACTAAAGATAGGAGGGCTAATGTCAAAAAAGACGTGAAAGTCCCTACACCAAGCAAGAATGGTTATGACAGAATTCTCAGAAAGAGAAAAACTGATCCTCCAGTGGATGAAAAGGTTCTTGGCAAAGAGCCAAACTGTACACCCAAAAACTCAAAGAGAAGAGTATAAAATTCAATTTTCGTCACTATGAAAAGAAGTGCTGCAAACTTGAAAAGAGTTTTTAAAAAACTTTCTTGAGACTGTAATCTATGGGGGGGGGGGGGTTGTATAGACACTATTAATAAAGTAAAATATAATGTATTAAATGTATTGTGTAACTTATATCCTGTCAAAAAAAGAAGCTAGAAAAAGGAAAACTGCTTGAAATTGTACATGTAATCTGTTTAAGACTAAGCATTGTATCATGCATATATAGGTGGCAGAATGGCTTGAAAAAAATTTATTTTTTCTTTAGTAAACATTGTGCAATTTTCTTTGTTGAAGGGGTGTGAGAGTGTTTCTTGTCTACATGGTCTGTGCATGTTTAATTATATCACCTTCATTACAAATGCAGAGTTAGAAGACATCTCGAGATATTTACTTTTGTTCCCAGTGTTCTTCTCTAGTAATATCCACTATTTCATACGAATTAACGACAAAATAGCTGCAATTAGACAATACATCTCTGGCTTTGTTTCACAGATATATGGCGAGCACTAAATAACTACGTCAACAACAGCTAAGCCAGTATATTAATGACCATTAATTGTAGATCTGTTATCAAAATAATGTATTAGAATTTCATAGGGTTATTTTCCAGTGCAATAAAATCAAAAAATAATCAGAATAGTGAAGTCCCTATTTTGGACTATTGTTTACAGTTTGCATCTAACAGACCATGTGTTGGGTTTGTGACCCCTTAATTTGAAGCCTGACATCCATACAGCTCTGCTCTCATGGAAATGTGTTGACTCCATGATTGGACAACAATTCTGACGAACCGAGCTTTGAATGGAGCTGCAAGGGTGTTGGTTACTATGCTTGTGGTATCTGTGTTTCCTGTAAAAATCTAATAGAAATTGTAACATTATCACCATTATGAAAATCACTATTATCATCACCACCACAACCATCATCATCACCATCATTATCAATATCATCAATAAACATCCTCACCATCAAAACATCTCACTTATCATCACAACATCATCATCATCACAACATCATTATCGTTATCATCATCATCAACATCATCACAACATCATCACCATCATTAACATTAACATCACAACATCCTTATAACCATCATCAACATCATCATCTTCATCACAATGTCATCGTCATCATCATTAACATCATCATCAATATTTTTATTAAAACATCTTCATTATCAGCATCATTACCAACATCATAAGCATCATCATCACAACATTGTTATTATCACAACATTTTCATCATCATCATCAATATCAGCATCATCATCACAACAGTAATGGGCTTCCTGTGTTCTTTTACGAAATGACATCCGGTTAGACGGATCGTCAATTCTTCATGACGATCCGTTTCATTTCGTGTGTAGTAATGGTTATTATCACAACTTTATCAACATAAAAACAAAACATCATTAGATGTTCTGAGGTTGAAGAAAAAGCGCTGTCATGTTTTATTTGACAAAATAAACGCCATCTTGGAGGTATAAATAAAATTGGAAGCTTCCATTTGAACCCTACATCATCTTAATTATTCTTCGTTTGCACGTTACGTCATCGTGGCCATGTTGGTACCATTTAGCGAAAGATTTCTCATTAGCATCCATTGTTAACGGTACCAAAATGGCCGCCATGTTTTTTGTCTTTTAACTCTTTTGGGAATGCTAGCAACCCATCAATAGTTTACCTTCAACTCTCCGCCTGTAGTGTAATTGTTCCATGCGACACCATCCAGTCCATACTGAAGACTGTAAGTCTTCACCCACTGTTTAACCACTGCTGAAAATAAGTAGTCCCTCCCCTGGGTTGCTACTTTGGTGATGTAACACTCTAGACCGAGTTCCACCTGCAAATACTCTCCCACTTGATTCACTTTGGCACTCCACGCTGATCCGTGATATCCTTGAGGCCCTTTATCCCGCTTATTGTTAAGTCTTCCTTGAAATGAATCATGGTTAAACGCTGCGTAAACGCTACTAGCGGTAATGGCGGAGTCGTTTATCCTTCCGTCCTCCATACCGAGTGCCATACAACAATCAGGTGATAAACCTGAAACAGTATTCAATTAAATAATTAACACTACTTGAAAATTCTTATTTTTCCGTCAACATTTGCCGGAAATTCTGTGGTGAATGTGATTGGCTATTTATATATTTCCTATATGAGAAATTAAATTTCCTCTACAAAACCTAACTGCGTGGTATGACTTTGATCAGCCCAGAACTTGTTTCAGGTTTTGATCTGTGAGTTAGCCGTGCCCTGACTTTGATCAGCCCAGAGGTTGTTTCAGGGTTCGATCTTTGAGTTAGCCGTGCCCTGATTTAGATCAGCCCGCGCAGAGGTTGTTTCAGTGTTCAATCTGTGTGGTAGCCGTGCCCTGACTTTGATCAGCCCAGAGGCTGTTTCCAGCTGAGCTGACTGACTGCGTTCCCCGAAAGGAATCATGGGTCAACTATAAGCATTTTCCTAGCAGGGACTGAGTATAATGTAGGTTTCTCTTGTCGATTGAAATGGAACTCCGCCATGAGCTCGACTGGCGTTTATGATAAATTTTACTATATTAATATACATACCAGAGCACTTTAGTGCAAGAGTCAAAGGATCTTGAACACAGTTCTTGTAAGCAGGGCATGAAGCACACGTGTTAAAACAGGCGAAGGTGTCCCACGAGAAGTCGGGTTTGCAGATTTGAAGGTTGGTACATGAACTGGATGTGCAAGGGTTCTGGAATTTGATTCAATCTTTTAAGCATGAACGTTTATATTTGATTCAGCATGCAGCGGTCTAACTGGAAATGATACGGAATAAAAATCTATATTCTGCTCTGCGCATGCTCTGCTCTTCCTCGCTCCGCCCTGCTCTGCTTATGTCTTCTCATTTCTGCTCTACTATTGTACTTTCCCATGGGAGATCAATGATGCACGTACTCATTTACTCACCTTAATAGGACAATATTCGGCACCTTCCTTTACGACCACGTGATCAGGAAATCCCACGTGATCTGTATCACTCAGCTCACACGTCCTACTCATTCCTCGTGTGGGACCCAAGTTGTACGATACGCATGCGTCATTCATAAAGCACTCGTGTTGACATTGTTCCAGGCCCGGAGAAAGCACGTTGGATGTGTGAATGGTGTGGTTGGCTAAGATTTTGTCTTTGATGCAATCTAGAAAAACCAGGTCTCTGCAGCCATCAGATGCTTTGGAAAAAAATGCGATAATTTCATGTGATAACAGAGAATTTTTTAAATTTCTGATAAAATCTATTGTTTTTATTTAGTTTACAAACGCTCTCTTATAGATTTTTTCATTTTTTTGTCAAATGGAAAATTACGATACAAAGTTCGTTAATATACACATAACCGTGAAAAATGAAAAAACTATGGAATACCGTTTTGTCTGTACTCATGTAATATTTTTGTTTTGTTTTTTCAAATAAAACTTTTTAATAACGAAAGAAGATTTTTAAAAGACATCTTCAAATTTGAAAGGTTCAACTCATCAAGAATCTCATAAAGCTGTTACAGGTGGAAATACTGAAGTTTGATTGGCTGACTTGATTTTGCTAAACTAATCCTAAATATTAAGTAATAACTGCATGATTAGATGGTCTTCAATTATGCATGCCTAACAGTTTTAGGAAGACTGCAAATTATCCATCGATCTCATTCACGAAAATTTTCCAAATACTTTTTTCCTTCTAGTTTTTTCCTTTAAAAAAACGTTAACCGATTTTTAACCTTGGTAGTCTGAATGTGCTGGTATAGTTGTRATTGAGATTTCTTTGTTTGTAAACTTTGTAATTTTTTTTCTTTCTTTTCTTTTCTTTTTTTTGATTGTAGAACTTAAAAGAGAGAGAGAGAGAGAGAAAGCGAAAACGTACGGGTCGAAACCTGAAACAACCTCTGGGCTGATCTAAGGCAGGGCATGGCTAACTCACAGATAGAACCCTAAAACAACCTCTGGGCTGATAAAAGTCAGGGCATGGCTAACTCGCAGATCAAACCCTGAAACAACCTCTGGGCTGATCAAAGTCAGGGCATGGCTAACTCACAGATCAAACCCTGAAACAACCTCTGGGCTGATCTAAGGCAGGGCATGGCTAACTCACAGATAGAACCCTGAAACAACCTCTGGGCTGATCTAAGTCAGGGCATAGCTAACTCACAGATAAAACCCTGAAACAACCCCTGGGCTGATCAAAGTCATGGCACGGCCAAATCACAGACCCCCGAAACTAAACTCAGAGGCGAATACACTACCGGTACACCACCCTTAAAACTTAATGATACTAATCTAGAGTTCTTACGTCGAACAGGTGTGACGGATAGAATAAGAGGTAGAGAGGTGATGAACCACAAGGCGAGCATAATTCTAAATCACATCACACCAGTTGGAGAGACTTGTTAGTTCACTATCGCGTCTGTGAGCTAATATACAAAGGTTGTTTACAGATTTGAAGTCTCAGTCGAAAAATGAAATGACAGATGGTGCTACTCTTTATATCATTACATGTTATTTGGCTATTGCAATGAAATACCAAAAATGGGTTGATTATAGACTCACAGGGAGCCCACCTTCGGAGATAAAAATAAAGGACGCGAAAACAATTACTGTCGTTCTACTCGTGAACCGTAAACACTCGAGTTTATTTTAATTTATTTTCTATTTTTATAAATATGCTTTTATTTTTTCTTTTCCTTTCATCATTTCATCTCCTTGAATAGCTTTTATAAACTTTCAATATATATAACTCGAATATTCTATTGTTTTCGATTCTTAATCTCAGTGAATTGGTTGACAAATTGTGCCAAACATTTTGTGCCATAGTCCTGCCTAATTACCGATTTACCTAGCAACATTTAGCCACAACTTCTTTTGCCACAAATTAGAGAAAAATTAAGGAAGGGCAATTTTATTGTTGAGAAGCTTCGAGAAAATTTACCGAATCCTTGGGGAAACCGCCTGAGAAATGGTTCTTTTCTGTTTTTTCTAATAGACCGTCTAGTTAACTTGTTTTTCTGTTACTTGCTTTATCAGTATTACGACAGTAAAGAACGTTTGGTTATTTCGAAAATTAGCATGCATTATTAATTTAGTGGAAGCCTAAAAAATAATCGTTTTTCAAGTTAAGTCAAGTTTGAAGTTCACTATTGAAAAATTTGAATGTTAATATAGAGTTTCTCTGTTTGTGGTGTGGCTCCAATTTGTAATAATAAAAAATAGTGTGCCATAGTCCTGCCTAATTTTCGATTTACCTAGCATCATTTAGCCACAACTTCTTTTTCCACGAAGATTAATTAATATAGGAAATCGCACTATTTGGAGTACAATTCGGAATTTGTAAGTACGCGAGTGATGTTTTGAAAGTTTTCAAAATTGGACGAGCCTTTAGGCTAATAAGCCTTTTCATAGCTTAAGAATCGATTCCACTGCGAATGCGATTTTATCCCGAATTTCTCACCTTCTTTTGTTTAATTAAGAACAAAAGAAGGTTTAGTCAAAAGAAGGTGAGAAATTCGGGATAAAATCACATGCGCAGTGGGATCGATTCTTAAACTATGAAAAGGCTTATTCAATTTGAGTGCAAACCTTAAACAAAGAAATGATACTCTAGGGAATGACATGTGGTCTGAAATGGGTAAACATTACGTCAGAGCCGAGGAAGTCTATTGGGACTCTACAGGGTACAATTTGGGGTTTAATTGTACTCCTCTTGTCCAATTAGAATCGAGTAATTTTTTAGTGTATTATAAATAAACTACTAGTATATAACCAATCAAAATTCAATATATTTTTTGTAATTTATGGTAGAAGCATGCGCAGAGCAGAGAACACGCCGTTTGCATGATGGCGTCTTCTTACTACCAAAATGCTTCGCAAATTTATTTTCAATTTTCATTGAATTTAAATTATAAACGTATTAGTGAAAAAATGAAGAGCTTCTTAAAAAATAATAAAAATGTTGATTCACTAGTACTTTTCACGAAATATTTTTTTAGAAAACAGGTTTTACAAGTTTTACTGGAGAAGGAAAAACTGAACTGGATATTTACAAAAACCTTCTCGGGTTTACGATACAACTTTTCTTTATTAAAAAGGGCCTTAGATCAGTTCAGAGGCAGGTTGCTTCAAAGTATCAATAAAATTTGAAGGTTTAAAAAAATGAAACATGAAGTCAATAAAAGTGAACTTGAAAACTGTGGATTCATTTTATATTGGAATTTCGAAGTGCCATTTTCATTTTGTATAATACAGTGGTTATCATGCTGCTCAACATTTTAACAAAGGCAGCTGCTCGATGCATTGGTCTGGTCATAAAATATTAACTCATTTTGTCAGACATTTGCCCATCAATCACAAACTGTAACCAAATTCAAGAACTACCGGAAAATAGTACTAATCGAGACCTCGGTCTAAAAATAAAACAATCAGACAACGAAAAATAACGAAAAAATAACTGGAATCTGACCATGCTGCGAAGACAAGTCGATTATTCAAACTATGGTAAAAAAATATTTATTTTTCTTCTCTTTTTCTGCGTCCAATATGTAAATGGTAAGTACTGTAAGCCAAAAAATGGAATTATTCACACGAGTCACTATTCAAAATAAAAACTTTATCTTTTATCTAAGTTAAAAAGTTCAATACTTTACGTTTCAGTGTCGTCATTTATTTTATCAATTTTTTTTTGTTGAGAATTGTTCACACAATCTACAGATCGAGTCGAATCGCCGAAACCCTTGGTACCCTCTAGCGATAAGGATCCCAATTATAAATATAATCAAAAGAAAATTCTCTCCTATTTTCTGGGCCCGGTTGTACGAAGCCTGGATAGCGCTACCCGAAGGATAGATCTTGTCCAGTGGATAAATTTATTGGATGACAGCATCGATTTATCCTCTGGATAAGGATTTTCGGTCGGATAGCGCTACCCAACCTTCGTGCAACCGACAACTGCATAAATCGACCGACAAATGCATGACTCAAATTTTTACTTTTTTATATCGCAATTAGTTACAAACCGAAAATAGTATTATTAAATAGATTTTACTGATACTGGCAGTAGTATTTTAGTAAAATTTTTGGGATTTGTTTTGTGAGTCATGTTAGAAGGATCGACTTGCTTGTGAAAAACACTCCAAGTTTTCGTTAGTTATAAAGTTTCGAAATTTTACGAATCAGTAACCAAATATCTTTTTTTTATTTACTTTATTCATTTATATATTTTTTATTACATACATTTTATTATTAAATATACAAAGTAACACAGCACGGGTCGTACAGGGAGCATTCTGTACACTTGTTCCAATGGTTGTATTGTCCCTCGCAATACCAGCAGCTTCACACAACAAAAGGAATCTTCGTAAAGCATAAATTTGTCTATTGTTCGCCGTTCATTCCACTCACCATCTATATCTATAACACGCCGTCCACACGAAAATCTGTAAACGGCGTTTGCAAAAGCATCTACTTTGGAGAGCGTTTTCAAACGTATGCGTTTACGGTGAGCGTCTTCATCGTTTACGTGTGGACGGAAGGGCTAAGCGCATCAAAAAGTATGCATTTACAAATGAAAACGTATATATGTAGACGGGGTCTAATTCCGCTCTATTTTTTCAAAGGATCTGATGGCTGCAGAGACCTGGTTTTTCTAGATTGTATCAAAAACCAGACCTTAGTCAACCACACCATTCACACATCCAACGTGCTTTCCCCGGGCCTGGAACAATGTCAACACGAGTGCTTTATGAATGACGCATGCGCATCGGGCAGAATGGCTATTGTTTAATGGACATCATTATCAAACTCCATCTAAACTCAATTATTGACATCATCTCAAAATGAATATTAATGACAAAAAAAAAGGGATGAGTGATTGGTCCTTAGTATTCCCTAAAGAGACTGAGCYTCCTTATTAGTATGTTGAAAATCAGCTCCATGAAATTCACACCTGTCAATCACTTTCATAGCAGCCAGATTTGTTTGTTGTTTTTAAACCCAGTGATTAATTACGATTTTTTTGCAATTAAAATCGCCAATACTGAGGGGATTTAAWAGCGGGCCGCCAAACTTATGGAAACTATTATTTTAGGAGTCTGGTCTGGAGTATGATTATTCGTGGATAATGATCAATATCTATTCTTGATCAAGGTTTTCATTATTTTTTATTTCAAACATTTCATTTTACTGAAATAAGCATTAGTCATGACTTTCTTAGTGCTCATGACTTTCTTAGTGCTTGTTGGCTCCTAAAAGAGCCGTTTTTATTTTTATTTTAGCTATTCCTCTCTGAACTGAAAGGTCACTCTTCGTATGTGTCGAGCCTTMRTCTTGTTGTTTCCATTGTAAAAAGATGGCGCTTTGCCCAGGTGTAGCTTCACTAAGAGGGTCGTTGTTTGTGAGAGTAAAACTTACTCGACAAGACTTTGACTGTCGAGAGTTTATTGTTTTGATGTGAATAAAACTCATTCGACAAGACTTTGACTTTAAGAGGGTCGTCGTTTGTGAGAGTAAAACTCACTCGACAAGACTTTGACTGTCGAGAGTTTATTGTTTTGATGTGAATAAAACTCATTCGACAAGACTTTGTTTTTA